CCCCAAAACCCCAAAACCCCAAAACCCCAAAACCCCAAAACCCCAAAACCCCAAAACCCCGGGGTACTCTAGATCAGTTGAACTATAATAATCCAAATACTTAGTGAACTATTTCAAATTCTGAAATCAGAAGTATTCTAATTAAACCACAGCTAATGCTAACTTAGTTAGAAATTTAATCTTTTGATTTTGAATATGTGATAATCTTCCTCAATGTTTCTGCTCTCCAGCTCCTCCACTACGTCTAGCCTCTGACGATTGGCGTTTGTATCTGTTAAGCCTGGAGTCACAAGATTAAAGGAACTTTTGTTTGACCGACTACTGATGGAGTTTAACCTACGATCAGGAGCATTAGATGAGGCCTATGGGTTAGAAAGTTATGCACCATTGCAGGATATTCATGTTGTTTTTGATTCAGTTTTCTGGGACTTCTTCTAGTCTTTCTTTTTGATCTAAAAAATGTGAGAGAGTACTCACCTGTATCCCTTAATAACTTTGATACGTCTTTTGTGTCTTGAAGTAGCTTTCTTTGGTGATTTTTGCTCTGACAAAATTTTAACCTGATCTACAAGATGAGCATAAGATTACGGGCTTCATATAAAGATTTATTTTGGGGAGCATGTGCTCTCTGTTCTTTTATTTCTGTATTTGGTTCTATATTGGTGACTAATTCTATTTACTTTTTCATAAAACTCTAGCAAATCACAAGTAAAGCTATATAAAGTTAAGAATGAATGCATGTGAACATATACCTTTCTGACAGGCTTATATCTTGCTTGGAATGACTCAATACATCGATATATCCATTCAAGTATAAATTTAGCGTTTATTGATACAACTACAACAAGAACTACCAAGTTAAGGTTGCTGATTTCTTCATTCTGTTCGTAGACATACCCTGCATTCAGAGTCACAATTCCAGCAACAATTGCGAGTATCTCAATTGTGTTGTTCTCTGGCAGTTTGTAAGGCTGTAAGTAGGTTTCCACTCTTTCACTAATAATCATGATAATCATTGATAAAGCAATTTTGTAGTTTGTGGGCAGTAGGAATCAGACCACAACTAAGAACTTTCTGAGAGTGTTGATAAATTCCCAATAGAATATGTTGTCTTTAAGGCCTTGATACAAAATCAGAAAATATCCCAGAATTCTCTCATTCTTGGCTTTCTTTGCTTTGTATAACATGACCAAAGCAAATGTAGGGAACCCAATCACCCAAATTATGAGGATTGGCAATGAAATCAAGATTCACCATTTTAAATGATCAAACGAATAGCACACAAGATCGGTGTCGATTCTAGCTGCATATGATTCCTCCTCGAATGAAATTCATCTAAAAGCATTGATGGACGACTCTGTTAGTTTGGGATGCAATATGAATAAGATGCTGATGAAAGATATGACCAAGTTTCTTTTGAGATCTGTCACCCATCTTCTATTAAGTATCAAGATAACTATCCAAATAAAAGTCACTACAAGGAATATTGTCAAAGGCAATAGTAGCATTAGGAACAGCTTGAGAACGGCATTCGAGCCGAAAGGCTCCTCAATTTCGTAGCCAGTGATAAAACAGTCAAACGACACGAAGGCTTGAGATGAGTCTCCGATCCTATTAATCGGCACAAAAATATCTGCCAGAGAAGACGGATACTTGGTCGTCATGGACATCGAAGTAGTGATAATTTGTAAATAACTGGTCATGATTCTCATCAGTATTGAGAGCTGGCTTTCACTTGTCTTCCTGATGTTGGTGATGATCAGAATCATGAAGAATACAAACACAAGCAGTATCAAAGCAAACACTCTAAGTGAATTCAGAACCGGACTTGGTCACACTTGACACTCGAAATCGCTGATTTTGTGATATTTCTTATCTTTAGTAACGCTACATTTTGAGCACAACTTTCCGGTGTATCCTTCTGCTCATTGTACTGGATGAATATTCTCAGGATGGTATCCCCCATTTCATGCTTTTTGTTGGATGCATTCGACAATCTTAGTTGAATTCAGTGAATTTCTCCAGTAGCCTTTCGCAATCTCCATTTTCTGTTTGCCTAGACAAGCTGCATTATCTTCACAAGCATGTCATTGAGTTGAATTCCATATGAAGGAATATGTTCCTGCCGGACATTCTGATCATTGGCTTCCGATTGTTTGTTCTCCTGGCTTTCAGAAAGTGAAGTCTACTACAATATCAGGTTGAACTATTGAGCCTCCAAAGGCAGCATTAACTTTAGCTTCGTTGATAGATTTAGACAAAATGCTATACTTGACATTTGATCTTCCTGGTTGAGCTACTGCAATAAGGCTATCAAACTTTGAAGATCCATTCTGGACTTTTACAACATTAATACCTTTAATTGAAGAATTGGAGGATCTCGCTTGGATGCTCATTTGTGAAGAACTATCTAGCAACATTACTTGCCCGTTTCCATCTACAAGGTTCAACACCAACGGCTGCTCTATGATTATACCAGATGAGACTCCTTCAATTTTAATTTTAGAAGAGTTGTGTTGCTCTGCTTGTGCCACCATAACAGGGTAACTCGCAATATTCTCTCCGTATTTAGCTGAGTTGTTGGCTAAAATGGTGTATTCATCGAAATAAGGTGGCCTGTAGTTGTAGTAAATGGCTCCTCCTTTTTCTATAGCAATGTTGTTTGTGAATGTGCAGTTCTTCACATTGACAAATCAATGGCTAGCTGAAGTTCAGAGCGAAGCAATAGCACCTCCAGTCATGGCTTTGTTTCCAATAAAACTTGTGTTAGAAAAAGTTACATTACTCTGTAGAATGTAAACTGCACCTGCATTCAGTAAATTATAACTCCCAGATCCAATAAAAGTTGAGTTTGCAATGAGAGCGACTTGTGTGTTGACCAATTCAAGACCTCTATAATGTTGAACCACATGAAGATTCTCTATCAATCCAATGTGAGAACCTTGGATTCTCAGAAAAGTCTTTTGATACTTTGATGCATTGACAGAGCGAATGATTAAATGAGTTGAAAGCTCAATCATGATAACTCTGTCTGTCTTTGAAGATGAATCCACAATATTAATGTTGTTAATTTCTCCTTTTGGAGACCTCGCCAGTCTTATCAGATCATTTGCTTGCTGAATGTTTGTCAAACTAAGATTGTATAAATATACTTCAGTTGATAATGCCAAGAGAAGAGTGCAATCTGACTCAGAATAAGAAATATTGGACATTGAAACAATTGAGTCAAGAGTTTCGACAATAATTCCTATTTCATTCTTCAATGCAGAATGAATCTCCATATTGTCAAGAGTAATATTGGAAGAAGTTGCAAATAAATATGGCCTGGTCAGTGTCACTGATGTGATAGATCAATTTGAGAATTTGGCACCTGAAAGATATGCATTCAAAAATAGGGGTTGCTCGAAAATCCTGGTTTGATGACGAATCTCAATTAATCCAGTAACTACATCAAGAGAGTATATTGATGGGACAATATTTGTGACCATTGATGGATTTTTACCTATAATTATTTCAATAAAATCGTACCTAAAAGCCCTATAAGAGTTTGGCTAATCATGCACAACTCCTCTCAATTTCCTTTCACTGCGTTGGTAACAACTTCATTGTCAACATTAGTGTTGTGATGGATGGAACAGTTAGAGAACTCTGAAGAATACATGGTTTCAAGGATATGCCCTATTGAGTTTTGAATTCCATAATTGTGATGAATTTCAGCATCAACAAATGAAATTCTACCACTTGAATCTACCTCAAACACTCCTGATTGAAGAGCAAAGTTATATGAAACTTCTCACTGAGTTCAGATGATCGCTCCTTCAGAGATAATTTTGAACACTGATGAAGCAAGAGCAGAATTGTTCGAAAATGAGCAATCATTAATGAAGGCCTCTGAGCTCTCTGATACCAAGATAACTCCAGAGTTAACTCCAGTTGATGTGATTTGTGTGAAATTGCTAGAAAGTATTTGCAATGATCCTCTTCCAGTTATCTCAATCAGTGATCCTTTGGGATTCACAATATTGGTGAATGTTCAATTTTGTAGAATAACTGCAGTGTCCAAATCTGAACTGGAATCGCCTGATCCCTCAATCATGATATTTGCTGAGCTTAAGTCTTGGAAAATTGAATTCTGAACAACGATAGGGTTATTCAATCTGTGAGAAAATTGGAAAATACTCCCAACATTCTTGAATCTGATTCCATCTACATTGACATTATTGAAGATCAATCTAACTTCATCAGTAGATTTAAACCCTGTTGTCGCAACTATTACTCTTGGAGATTCTATATAAGAGTTTTTGATGCTCAAGTTTTCAATAACAATCTCTCTGTCTGTTCCATCAGCACTGACCGAGTCGATGCTGAATAACGAGAGGTCAGAGTCACTCATGGAAATGTCTTTGACTGTTACCAAAGAGTTAACAAGCTTAAGTTCAGAGACCCTGAACAGAGCATTCTCAGAGTTTCCTTGCTGAGAAACTGAAATCCCATCAAAAGAGTGGTTTGCAATACTGAAGGCCGAAATCGAATTAAATGAGACAATTGAAATGTCTCCGTCTATTTGGGTATCCTCATACCTGCTGTTCAAGAATTGAAAAGAAGAGGGGTTTGATTTCATGTCGATAAAGGCCTTACTCTTAAAACTACAATTTATCAGTAAAAGACCACTTATTATTACTTGAGAATATGAAGAACTAGATACTTCAATGTCACTCCAATATCTTATAGCTTTGGTCGAGTAATTTATAAGAGTAAGACCATCTATAGAAACCTTCTGATTGTAAGTAAACTGAAGGAATGCATCGACCTCAGTAATATTACTCAAGGTGCAATTTACAAGAGATACTTCTGCATTAAACACGAACATTCCAAGTTGGTGAGAAAAAGTTCCATTGTGAGCATAAAAATTCCTGATTTCAAAAGTATCTACTTGCGTGCTGTAAGAATTGAAAAAGGCATATTCATAGGCAAAACGGAAGTTCTTGAGCTCAGTATCTACAAAGCTAGTCTTATACCTTCGAGAATGAGGTAGCATCCCTGAGAAAGCATGGAAAATGAATTGAGAGCCATCATTATAATTGGTGAGATCGCTCTTCATGCCGTTTACATTGAAGAATTGGATATTCCCATCTTGAGGGAGTCAGCCACTAGAGACAACGAGACCAATTCCCAAGATGTCTTCTCCTTTAGTGATAAAATAATCGGTGAGGTCAAGACTAGATATAGTTATATTTCCAGGCCCACTCAGGATAAAAATCTTCGGACTCTTCAAGATAACCTTAGGCTGAGAAAGAACATGAGTAATTCCCGTCACATTAAATTCTGGAAATAAGTACGCTTCAGGATAATTTCATAATGTCTGAATATCAGAATAAAATACAGAAATCCTGTAAGAGTCAAAAGAAATATTTTGGAGGTGGACGTTGAGAGGATCATACGTCCTAATGATTCTTCCAGTTACGTTAAAATTCACATTGGCTATATTTTGTTAATTTAAAACCGGATAAATAGAAAATAAATGAAAATGTCGGGTTTTGAACAAAAACTTAGGGTTGATCAATTATCACGAGGGTAATAACTTAATTTATTCAAGGACCCATTAATGCTTATTGTTAAATATTTAGAGCCACATTCTTAAGGTCCCTTGCTGCTAAATTTTTTCAAAAGAATACGAAAATTGAAAATTTTGCTAGAAAATTTAATACCTAGTATAATACTTACTTATGTTTAGAGTCTTCTCTTGGAGGTAAACAGGAGATATGAAGATCTTATCTTCAGATATATACTCTGCTTCCCTGTAGAAGTCCACTCCCTCTATTGTCAACGAAGTTCTTAGCACAACAATCGAAGCAGCTGAAGACGATAAAACAGTCGATTCATACTCCGTAAAATCACTCTTCATAACTTTTTCTAAATCCTTCTCTGAATTTTTCAAAATATGAAATCTGGCCTTCGAAGTGATCCCATGCTGCTTAGAGTCACTCGGAATAAGTAGAGCACTCTTCGTAGTTTCTGGAAGAAATTAGGGTATTTTAAGGGATTTTTGGAATTTTTAGGTGGAATGAGATGGTAGGACTTACTGTGGAGATTGTGCTTTGAGGAGAGGATTAGGATGTCTGGGTGGGATTTTAGTACCACATTTGTCATGTTGACCATCATCAAGTCTCCGTCTTCGAAATAAGCGTCTGTAGTGAAGATGGTTACCGTATAATTGGTATGTGAATGAATATTTAGGATTTCTGTTGAAAGAGCACTAAATGATCTATAAGGATACTCATAAGTCCCAAGCTCTATTTCTTTGGAGCTGAAAGGGTTTATATAATATTCAGGACTTCTTCAAATTGATGGAAGGTTATATTTAGGATTTTCTAGAATCAACTTGTTGCTTGAACATTCATGAATATGAATTCATTTATTTTCCTCCAGATCAAACAAATATCCAGTACCTCATTCAAATCAATCTTTCTGATATCCACACATATACTTACAACTCCCATTACAGCTCCTACAAACCTCTTGAGTCTTATCATAATACTCTCCTTCAGCTCAACTTACTCAAATCTCCCCTTTACCTCCACTAGCTCCTTCTGAACCACCACTCTCAACCTCTCTAAGGTACATATAGTCCTCACAAGTATCTCAACTGCTGCCATCACTACACTCCTTTCACGACTCATGTCACTGCTTTCACCCTCCATCCTCATAATACCCCTGATAACACCCTTGCTTCTCCACGGCCACTGTCATGATTCCCAAAAATGCCAAAATACACCATGCTTTCATATTTTCTATTATAAATCACCAGCTGGGGTTTTGGGGTTTTGGGGTTTTGGGG